TAGATAAGAAATATACCTAACTTTCATCCAAAATTTACATAAAAAAGCACCTTTAAGGAACTCCTTGGAGACGATGCACAAGGTCTTTCTGCTGCTCCAGATGGCATCCCTGATGTTTGAGAGGTGATCCTCCCCAGGCAGGAAGTCTCTGGCCTCAAAGCAGCAGTGGAACAGGTTCTCCTCTGAAAACTGGTTATCCAATTTCTCCAGCAAGGCAGCTTCCACCCAACTGTAGTCGCTGTTGCTGAAGCACAGGAAGGCATCGTACTGCCAGTCCTTCTCAGTGGTGGGGGGTTTGGGACCCTCAAGAACCCTGCTGACTATCTTTTTGTAGATGAAGAATATTTGACCTCGGAGGCGGGCGTAAATGATCCCCCCGAGTACAAAGCTGAAAACGAGGCTGACAGATGACATGAAAAGAGCCAGCCGAAGAGCCTGTACAGTCTTTTCCTCATCCTCACATGGCTCCATGATGGTAGAAAATTCCAGCAGGGGAATGTTGTGGACAGAAGCTGGGAACTTGCATCTGTATTCCTGGACTGGGCTCCGGAAGGTGACATTGGTCGTGTTAAGCCAACTCAGGAAGCTATCCAGAAAGCAGTCACAGTGGAACCGATTTCCTGCAAGGTCAAGGTGGATGAGAGAGTGGAAAGTCATCGGATTGGGAGTAGCTAGGAAGTTGTTTGAAAGGTCGAGCCATCTCAGGCTGGCTGGGAAAACACTAGTCTCCAGATAGGTCAGGGCATTAGATGAAAGGTCAATTGTATCAATTGAAGTTAGACCACTAAAGATCCCATGAGGGAGAGCCATTAAGGAGTTGAGACTGATATTCAAAGTGAGCAAATTCTGCAAAAGTTCAAATATGTCAAGGCATTTGCCTTGTGCCCAAGCATTCTGCAGGGAACAGCCATGAAGGTCCAACACAATCAAACTACTATTACCAGGCATGGAGACTCCAGCATTTATTGTGCACCACAAAATGGGGTTGTCTCCATGTAAAAGGTAAACCAGATGCCTGAAATGAGTCAAGACAATGTAAACGTTCTCCAGGTTTGTTAATTTGTTTCCTGAAATATCTAAATAGATAACGTTGTTCCATGAGCTAAAGATGGGGTAGAGGGAATCCAACTTATTGTCTCTGAGGAGAAGGAAGTTTAAGTTCGGTAGAGCAGCAGGAGACCCCAGCAGCCGCAGAGAGTTTCCTGTTAGATATAAATGATGCAGCTGGGGAAGACCGCTAAAGGCCTTGTACCCTAGTACACCAATGTGGTTGTGAGATAAGTCCAAAATAAGCAGTTCTGTAAGACCGTTGAATGTGTTGGAGCGGATCTCTCCTAACAGATTGAAGGACAGATTAAGTTTGTATAAATTTGTTTGCAGACCAAAGAAGGCGTTTTTCTCAATTATATTTACTTTGTTCTGCGAAATATCGATACTATTTGCATTTCTCAGAGGCCTAAAGACTTTTTCTTTTAGAGCAAAAATCCTGTTCCCTGACAGATCTAACTTAATGACTGAACTGTCCATGAGGCCTACAAATGTGTCGTTATCTGGATCTGCAATGTTCTCATGGGAAAAGCCTTTTCCAAGACCATTAGAACATTTCAGATGAGCAATAGGAGTCCCCCTGATCGCTCTAAAAAACTGTTTTAATTTTTCCAAATTCATTCCATTTCCAGAGATATCGAGCCTATTGAAGGTTATCCCCCTGAAAGGGTTTCCACAGGTCGACCAGTCAACATTGGATCCAAAGAAACTGTTGGACGATAAGTCCAGACTCTTAAATGATTTCCCCCTGAAGCCAACTAAGTCCCCCTCACATATCTTCTCAAGAGAGTTTAGTTCAAGAGTTAACACAGAGAACCTGGTGAGATTCAAAAAGAAACGACCGGGAAGGAGTCTCACTATCTTGTTCCCGTAGAGGTTGAGCCTGTTTAATGACAGAAGTGGTTCCAGGTAGTTCTCTTTCAGTATGGAGTCAGTCAGGGAACAGTGATCCAGCCAGAGGTCTAGTAAACTGACCAGCCCCACAAACGCCCGTGGTTCCAGCGTCAGACCCAAATTGTCTCCAAGAACTAGTAGAGTCAACTTTCTCTGCCTGAGAAAGGAGTCGTTCCTGATTGTTAGGACTACTTCCCGTTGGCTCCCCAAGTCTAATTCCTGGAGTTCCTCTAAGTCTCTGAAAGAAGTCCTGTTGATCTCTTGGATGTGGTTTCTGTCTAAGTACAAATGGGTGGTGTTGGGGGGCAGTGCTGGGACCCAGCGGAGTTTCCGGGCGGCGCAGTAGACTTTCTGACCCGATAGCTGGCATAATGGATGGCATGTTGTTAGCTGCAGGAAGAAAAGATGGGTTCATTTAGAGAATTAAGTAGCTGAATATTTCCTTTTCCCAGACTGCTCAAATGTTTATAGTTTTTAACAAAACTGAAGATAAAATGAAAAATTTTACAAAATCTCCTTAATGAATACATTATAACCAATATATCTAAAGATAAGGTTAATTTTCACCTCTTTTTATCTATTCATCTGTCTCTGCATTGTGATTGGCCCGCCAGTTCTAGGGCCTGAGCCATTGATCGAGGCTAGACCACTTGCAGGCAAAAATGATTTTGGCCGCTGGCGCGTGGGTCTAGTTTACTAGGCAAACTCTTAGGGGGTCTATGGAGCAGGGGGCGGGTCGTGAAGCTGGCTGCTCGATGCTGATTGGCCAACAAACTGAAGGATTTTTGGCTGACATTGGCCAGACAGTCAGGAGATTTTTCTCATGACTCCAAAGGGAAAAGTGATTATTCAGTCAGAACAGTCATGTTGTGCTGAACTGTTGTCATGGTTTCGAGAGTTTACTATTTCAGAGATATTCACAACAGCTTTTTTCACCCGTCGTAGGGCCGTGCTTTATGTTTCAACCTTTACTAATGCACTATGTGACGTTTGGATTTCATTAACACCATTGAGCCTCCCGTTTCTGAGAGCAGCAACCACCACTGTTATATGTACCGTATTTTCACGACCATAAGGCGCACCGTACTAAAAGGCGCAGTCTCAGTTATGTGTGCCATTTCTGTATTTAACACACACATAAGGCGCACCGGACTATAGGGCGCGGGTTTTATATGCAGGTACATGTCCTCTACTACCTTTAAATACATCTACTGCATATTTAAAATAGAGCAGGAGCAAAACTGAGTATGTTCGTGCTTTATTCATGTATTTATTACAAAGTAGGCTATTAATCAAACACAGACACATCGCTGATGACACAGAGCGCTGTGATCGCTCCTCTGAAA